TAGCTATTTATGCAGACTCATATGAATATATGTCACAAACTGATAAAGGAGTTGCTATGAATTATATTAAAGATGGAACAGTTGAAGGAGCATGTCCACCATTAAAAGCACTTATTTATATTATGGCAAATGGTGAATATAATGGAATGACACGTGAATCAAAAGAATTTAGAGATATGTTTGACCCAGAAGTTGTTCTAAATAGTGAATGGTATAAAGAAAGATTAATTACAAGACAAAAACTTGAAATTAATAAATTAAATAAAGATTTAGCTTATTTGAATAAGACAATTGCTGAAAAACCAAGATTAGCTGAAACTCTTAATAAACAAATTACCGCTGTTAAAGAAGAACTTCAATATGTTTCAAGTGAAGAATATCTTATTGATATTGATGGATCTATTGGAACTGATCCATATCCATACAAATGCATGAAACATTAAACTAATTAAGTTTTTTTGTTTGACTTTTTTATATTTTATTGGTTTTTATTAAAAAAATTTAATTGATAAAAAAGTTTTTGATGATTAATGGTTTTTTTTACAAAATTTCATCGATAAATATAAATAAATAAGTTTTATGTTAATAAATTTGTTAAGCTTATTTTTATGTTTTCAGAAATTACTTTTTGTTTATAAAACAACTTATTTATTTCAACAAAACATTTTATTCATCATTCTTATTCGTTTTTTATAAATTAAAAAATAAAAAAATGTTAATTTATTCTTTTTATTTTATGATATGAGAAAGTAAGGAATATAAACGAGATAAGCAGAGCTCTAGTTTAATAATAAATTATCAGTAAAAAATTAAAAGAAATAGAAAACAATATTGATGTAAAAACAATATAAGGACGTTGCAAAGAAATGAAAGGCATTATATTCTAGTTACAGTTTTAATGATGCAAACTCACAACACAGTACATAGGTAAAGACTCTAATAGTACAAAGAGTGATGAAGAACCTAACAATAGCTATAATGTTATAACTTCCTAAAACAATGAAGACAAGAATAAACAAGTAAACACCATTATTTAGATTAATTTTTTGTTGTATTTCATAACATATTATTGTTCAAAAGGAAAGTCAAAAATTTAGATAAATTCCCATTAATAAACAAATTTTTAAGGGAACAAAAATTTTAGAGAAAGTTAAATATTTCAATCATTTTAATTTAAAAGAGATGAAAAAGAACTTAAAAAAGAAGAAGAAGATGGGAAGAATAGATTCATATTCAATGATGATTATTTGTAAGTATTTTATAAATATTAAAGATATTATTAATGTTGAATTGGTATGTAAAAAATATAGAGGAACAATGACTAAATTTCATTTTAACACAGTAGTTTTAACAGAAAACAATGTTAAAATGTTTCCGGCAATCCAAACACAATATATTTATGGGAATGAAGAGAAGGTTATACAAAACCAAATTAAAAAATATGAAAATTGGAGTGAAATAGGATATAAAGACTTTATTAATCAAGTAAACAAAGAAAAAGAGAAAGAAGAAATATTTCACAAAGTAAAAATTACAAAAGAAGAAATCAATGAATATTTTAGCCAAATGGATGAAAGATGTCATATCATTGATAAAGGAAGTTTTTGTGATAATCATTTAATAGAAAAAGTTACTATTCCAAATTGTATTACATCAATAAGAAATGGAATATTTATGAACTGTCATGGATTAACAAATGTAGTACTTAGTAATATGATTTCTGTAATACCAAAATATTGTTTTAAAGGATGTACCTCACTTCAAAGAATTCAATTACCACTTGGGATTGATATAATAGAAGATGAGAGTTTTATGAATTGTATTAATTTAAAAGAAATTAATCTTTCTGGTCATTTGATTTCTCTTGGGAATCATTGTTTTGTTAATTGCAATAAATTATTAGAAATCTCACTCTCTCCAACAATACAAAATATTGGAGATGGGTGTTTTTGTAATTGTAAGAGTATTTCTAATACAATCACTATTGGACCAACAACAAATTATGGAAGAAGAGTGTTTAATGGGTGTGAAAGTATTCCAGCAATTATCATTACTAAAGAAATCAATGAGCTTAAATCGTTTGAATTTAGTCATTGTGTTGGATTAAGGAAAGTGGAAATACCAAGTTCAGTTAGTAAAATTGAAAAGTATTGTTTCAAAGATTGTAAGAAATTAGAGTTAATTGGATTACATGAAGGTATTGAATATGAAAAGGGATGTTTTGAAGGGTGTGAAAAATTAAGAGAAGTGATAGAAATGGACAGTTCGTTGTTTGAGAAAATAGCAAAGTGAAAGAAGATTTTTATAAATTGAGTTTTTGAATAAATTTGAACTGATTTTCAGAAAATAAGAAACAAGATGAGTGAAAGACTTTCATCATTTGATCCAATCATCCCATCAAAACCTTTAATCCTCATTTTAGGATCAATGCCAGGTACTGAATCACTCAAAAAACAACAATATTATGGACATCCACAAAATTGTTTCTGGTCAATTATTTCATCAATAAAATCAATGGGGAGTGTTCCACCACGATATGAACAAAGAATTGAACTAATAAAATCATGTCAAATTGCATTATGGGATGTGTGTTGTCAATGTGAACGAAAAGGTAGTTTAGATAGTGATATAAAAGAGGTAAAACCAAATAAAATAAACAAATTATTACTTGAACATCCAACAATTAAAACAGTTCTTTTCATGGTCAAGGACCTTCAAACTTTATCATAATTCTTTAAAGATTACCTATATTAAATATGTCATATGCAGGTACAGTCCTGCAATGCACGTACT